CTACATCGTAGATGGTAGATATGAACCAAAATGTGTATGTAAGGGTGGAAAAAGCCAGAGGAGATGCTATTATCTAAGTAAAAATATTCTCATATTGAAGCATAAAAGCTAAGTTTATGATAGAAATGTTATAATAGCATCAGAATGGAGCATTTCATTTTGGTTAAACATTGTGATCTAGTACAGACATTGCTGGAGGGGTGAGGTTGTTGAAGTTTGGACATTCATTTGTTCATTTATCTATTCATTCAATAAATATTCATTGATCACCTGCCTTTTACATAGATTGAGGGGATACAAAGCATGGTTCCTTCTTCTGTGAGGTTGCCTGGCCAATCAACATGAGTCTTAGTTTCCTCATCATTGAAATGAATCCTGGCTACAAAGATACAGCTTTCAAGGAAGACTCTTAACTGAACAAATGTTTGTTGGATGCTGGATGGCCATATTGAAATAATTAGAAATTAGAATTATTTCCTTCTTGCAAAATAAAGAGACTTTATTATTATTATTATTATTTGCCTTGATTTGTGCTCAAAGGTATGTAAGCATTTTAGCTCTGAGGTTACTTTATCCACTGGCTCTGTTTTTATCTTTTTTCTCTATGGCTTAATTGGGTATTTATATAAAAATATGTCAAGAGATAATAAAGTGGCCTGAGAAGAAGCCACATGTTTAAAATGTATGTGCTCTTCATCCAGGGACACCATGCTGGTTACTGATATCTGTGGAACACACTCTGACTTTATGGAGCCTGTATTCATCCAGAGCTGAACCAGCTCACAAGCCAGATCTGTTTTGATGCTGTTAAGAAATCAGGGTGAGTGTTGATTTGGGGGGTATGAAAGTTCTTAGCTTATTATCCCAGCCTAGTTAGTCTAGACTTGACAAACTTTCCAGGGGAATTTAAAAAGCACGGAAAGGAACCCAATGAAATCACTATTTCAGGTTTTCTAGTCTACCAGAAACCTTGAAACTTTATGGAATGAGACTGTGTTGCTAGTTAGCACCTTCCCTGCCAAAAACCATGGGCTGAGGATATTCCCAAATGAGACAGTGTCTTGTTTCCTTATGGGGTGGTTGGTTCTGTTCTTTGAGACTGTTTCTGGGGAGGCATTTGGTAGCTCTCTTCAGTGGGAATTATAAAACCACATAGTTACTGCAAGGTTGTTTAATGATGAAATACCATGGGAGCAGGACAACTGACTGGTCTTTCCAAGCAGTGAGCCCCCTTGAGGTTAACCTTGGTAGCCAAAGAGCAGCAGTTGGTATTCATGAAAAGTTTGGTCCAGAGATGATGTATTGCTATAAAGCAGATACCACTAGAAAGAAGAGTTACTGACAGAATATGATAAATAGCACAGCTAGATTATACATGAGAAGAGGCTTAAATCTTTTGGAAGCTAATGAATAGATGGCAATGATAGCTCAGTCAATGCTGATAAATAATGACAAGTTGCTGGATAGTGGAATATGGGACTAATTTGTGCACCATTCAGCATATGAGATTAAAAAAAAGTCAAAGAGTCAAGAATGTGTAACATTAAATATGAATGATCGCAATGAAGACAGGACGAGGTGAAAGTCAAATCTGTATGTGCCATTAAATATGAGCTGGCAGAACCCAAAGCTTGTTTTTCTTTTTTTTTCAATCTCTTGGAGGATCAAAGGGTAGTCACCTCTGAAAGCAAATGTGTGTGTGTGTTTTAAATGTGAGAGTCAATGTAAATAATAAAAAAAACTTTAAAAATGGACAGCATATTCAGAAAGAATTGCTAATGTGATGTTTGATTCTGAACATTTGGAGCAGTATGAGCAGTATTGATATTAGGTTCTGAGAATGAAAGTCAAAGAACCAAAGAACAAAGAGCAGCCCTAGTCGGCAATGGATGAGAGTGAAATGGCAGATAATGAGGGGAGAAGTACATCCAGACACAGGGCCTTAGATCTCTGGGAGGAGAACAGATGAGAAAGGGCGCAGGCAGGGCAGAGAATGTGGAATCATGACGTCTTTGATGAATCTTCTTCACATCAGTCTAGGTATGCTATAAAGCAGACCTAAAGAAATGAAAGGTACAATCCAAAGGCTTGTCTTTGAGTTTCTTTAATGACAATGTGACAGAAGACAAAACACCTACATCCATATGCAGACGCTTTGAAGACACCACGAGTGAGATGTCACTGGATTTTTTAGTAGTTATTAAATTGTGTCGAATAAAATGTTTCTGTTAGAGGCAAAGATGTAAATCTAGTTTGTTAAATAATAAAGAAACAAATTAATCTGTGCTAATATAGGAAAAAATCACTTGTCCACACTCAAATGACATGGTGCTTAGAGTGGATTTTCCTATTTAGTCAAGTAAATAGCATTATGTTTATCTTTTTTTTTTTTTTGAGAGATTTTTTTCACTGTAGGGCGCGTGCGCTCGCCAGACAGACAGAGAGAGACATAGAGACAGAAAGCGAGAAATCACCCCCCAGGGGGGATGGTCACGCCGCAATCCCTTCTCCTCCATTCTCCTCTCGGGATCTTGGGCACGAACGCACACGCGCCCAGCGTGAGTTTTAAGCTACCGGGTCTGGGACACGAACCGCGGTCGACTATGTGGGAGTCCAGCGACATAGCCATTAAGTTAACTGCTGGTTCCCCATTGTGTTTATCTTAAGATATGTGCAAATGCTGTCATCTAAAGGCAGATATTGTCTTTCAGGGGTGATCAGAGAACCCCTCAGGTGATAAAACGGGGAGATCAAAGATGGGAAAGGGGGCTATTACTGCTGTTGCTTATTTATTTATTTATTTATTTTTGGGAGAGGTTTTTGCTATGTGGTACATGTGTTTGCCAGGAAGACAGAGAGAGACAGAGAGACAGAAAGTGAGAAATCACCCCCCGGGGGGATGGCCATGTCGCAATCCCTTCTCCTCCATTCTCCTCTTGGGATCTTGGGCACACACGCACATGCACCTGGCGTGAGTTTAAGCCACCAGATCCGGGACTCAAATTGCGGTTGACTACCTGGGAGTCCAGTGACACAGCCATTATGCTAACTGCTGGTCCCACTGCTGTTGCTTAAGGTAAAATTTTGGTTGATCAATCGAATAATTGGTTTATAATAAACCAATTAACCAGTTTGGAGAAGTTTTCATTCTGTTTTTAAAATGGAAATAGAATAGTCAAAAATAATGATTACTTCTAGATATGTTATACCAAAGCACACAGCTGAAAAGCTAATGACTCAATCCTTCACCATTTCCCACCTTCTGAGAAAGAGTTCAAAATGAACCTCTCCAAGGCTTAATTCCTGAGGAGAAGATAAAAAGTAGTAAAAGATAAAAAGTACTAACCTTGCAAAAGCTATTTAGGATAAGTTGTGGCATATTCTAAATAATTGTTATATTTATTAGGTGATAATATTCTAAACTCTTACAATTTTCAGAGTTAAGAAATTATTTTTTCATGAAGTTTAAGTTAAAGGAATATATACACATGGTTTAGAGTCAGAGTTATGCAAAACTGGTAATGAGAAACAGCTGACCTGTCGTCACTACTCTGACAGTTTATATTCACAGGAAGAGACTATTCTTATCTCCATGTTTCTATGTAACATACTTGTATTAGTGCTTCTTGAATTTTTAGTTTTACATATTAGCTATCAGGATGGCCTCATGGCCTGGCAGTTAAGGCAGTAGGATCCCACATGACTGACCCTATATTCAAATTCTGAACCCACTGGCTTGAGAAACATGCTAGGTATGTGTGTGTGCTTGCCCCAAATCCTAGCAGGAGGAGAAATGGAGAAGGGACTGTGGTATGACCATTCCCCATGGTGGCGTGCTTTCTCCTTTTTTTTCTCTCTGTCTCTCTTTCTGTCTTTGGTGAGTGCAAGTGCCTCTGGCAATTTTTGTTTGTTTGTTTAAATTAGATAAAAGTTATAGACTTTCTCCTATGTAAGATACAGTTTTAACTTGGGACCAGCAGATAGCATAGCAGTTACGTTGCTGGACTCCCACATGGCTGACTGAGGTTTGAGTCCCAGGCCCAGTGGCTTGAAAACCACGCTGGGTGCCTGTAGGCATACCCAAGATCTCAGGAGGAAAATGAAAGAGATGTGATTGTGGCATGGGCATTCCCCCCCCCCCCCCCCCGGGGGAGTGATTTCTCACTTTTCCTCTCACTGTGTCTGTCTCTCCTCTTTGGCAGTGCACACACCCTTTGGCAAAAACCTCTAAAAAAAAATACGGCTTGAACGCTTTCATCTTGTGCTTCCAAACCTACCATGTATATTAAAAGTAAAGACTATTTCAACATATGTGGTATGAAGAACCACCTCCCCCAGTGTGTTTATAATCTTTCAGCTATTTTAGTGTGAACACAGTAAATCAGGTAGTGTACTGTGACTGATTTTGCTTTCCTCCATAATATTTAATTTGTTTTAAAGTTAATAATAATTTTTCCTTTTTGTTTATATATTTTTATTTTTCTATGTGCCAATCATTAACTCAACCCCACACCCTCTTCTATTGTGTGTACCTTCTCTCAATACATTTAAACACATTAGGCTATCTACCAATTTTCTTTTCTTTCTTTTAAAAAAAAAATTCCCCTAGAATTTTTGGTCTACACTACTCTATGCTTCTTTCTCTTTAGGCCTGATACATAACTGTTATCTTGCATCTCCCAGCACCATCACCGTGGAGTTCCTATTTTTCTCTTTATTCTCTCAGTATCTTTTCCTTTTAATATGTTTATTACTCATATTTACTTTGCCCTTTCATTTAGGTGGAGTACATATTTTTGGTAGTTTCCTAAGAAACTACTTCAGACCTCCCCCCAAAAAAAGAAAATTGAAAAGCTGAATATCTGAACATATCTTTATTACACCCTCACACTAGATTGGAAATTTTGCTGGGTATAGTGTGAAAACATTTTTGTCAGTATTGTAAAGGCTTTGTTTCATTATCTCTTGTATCCAAGAAATGATGTTAAGAGGTTGTTTCCATACTTACCTGGCAGGGGAGATACCAAGACCACGAAGGTGGTTTTCCCAGTGTGAGGCTGATCCATTGCACTCTGGATGTGCTGACCCTTGCAATTTCCCCAAATGTGGGAAACTCAACTGCATAAGTTACAGTAGAGGAGGACTGCATTCATCATCTCCCCTGATATTCTTGTGTTTTAAAGGGTCTGAAGTTAGCCTTAAACATCTAGAAGTCATTAGGTCAACATTTGTGTGCAAGGATACTTGTTAGGACTTTGGGCTTATTGGTGGTGTGGGTGGTTAAGGTGGATGCACATGGCCTGAAATGTCAAAAGAGGGGTTGGCACAATCCTTTGCCATGTGGGTACTATCTTCATTCTTGTGAGTGGAAAAAAAAATCACTGCCATACTGAGTTGGACTATTTTTTTTCCTCCTCTATGGAAGCTTGTAGTATTTTCTGTTTGTCTTTCAGAATTTTCATCACGATATATATCATGATGTGTGATTCTTTTCTTCGTTGGTATTAGACACTTCCAATGTGGAAAAGATTGTCTTTTCATCATGAGGAATTTTCTTTCACGTATTGAGTCATAGGGAAAGTTGTGATGCATTTTTGCATAGAAAAATATAAAAACAAATACATCAGGACTTTCCCAGTGGCCCAATATTTGATTTCCTCTCTTTTCCATTTCTTTCTCTTTTCCCCCTGGAGTTCATGTTATTTGAAGGACATCCTAGGATGTACAAATTTTTATTTACCTTTCTTCCTATTTTCCTTGTCTGTTTTATATCTCTCTTTTCTTGCAATATTTCCTCAAAATTATTCCTTCTGTTGAATGTTTCATTTTTGTTGTCATACTTTTAATTTCTAAGTCTCTTTTTTGTTTTATTTTATTTATTTTTATTTGTTTATTTAATTTATTTTGTTTTGTTTTAAATTTTGCCACAGGATGTGTATGTTTGCTGGAGAGAAAGAGAGAGAAAGTGAGAGAGAGACCACAATCCCTTCTCCATTTTCCCCTCCTTTCAGGATTTTGGGAACTCCTGCACATGCCCTCAGCATGTTTACCAAGCCACCAGGTCTGGAATACTCAAACCATGCTAATGGCCATGTGGAATCTAGCTGCCTTAATCATCACATCATGAGCTGGCCCTTTTGCTTGTTTTTGAATGTTCTTTTAAAAAAATAAAATACTTTTCTTGTTTTATAACTGCAACAAATTCTTTCATTTTTTAATGATTAATTGTAAGACTTTTTGTAGTCTTCTTTCTCATCACTTTTTCATTTGCTTTATTGTAGTCTCTGTCTTTCATATAGATAAATCCCTCAAATGTCTGTTGATTCTTGGTCATCTGCTCATATTTAAGTGTAAGGCACTAGAGAAGACAGAAACTTTGTTTGAGCAGATGGAACTTATCTTCTCTGGTCTTTGCTATAGGGAGATATTGCAGGACTATTTCCTTGGAAATAGTCCTTGGAAATCCTCTGATACCAGTTATCAATGTTTTTAGGTCTGTTCTGAGACTAGTCAGATTTCCCAAGGACAATCTCCTAATGTCCTTTATGTATGTGTGTGTACTTATATTTGCATATGTGCCTGAGTGTCAGCAGTCTGGGATTCAAATACAGGAAAAAGGGTCTTAATGTTGGTGTGTGTGTGTATGTGTTCACACTTGATTTCCTTTATTTTTTTCCTTTTAGAAAATAATCTGTCAACCAACCATGGCTCTCTCAACCCATGAGGCCCAGAGGCCCTCTATTTTACATTCTCCAGTAAATAAAACTTTAGTCTTCTACAGGCTGGGGAAAGAGATTCACCCAGTTGTATAGACTATAAGATTAGAAATCTTGGTGTCATCTTATTAGCACTTAATTTTCAACTAGTCATCCTATTTTTGTTTGTTTGTTTGTTTTTTTGGAGAGATTTTCACTGTAGGGTGCGTGTGCTCGCCAGACAGACAGAGAGAGACATAGAGACAGAAAGCGAGAAATCACCCCCCAGGGGGGATGGTCACGCCACAATCCCTTCTCCTCCATTCTCCTCTCGGGATCTTGGGCACACACGCACACGCGCCCGGCATGAGTTTTAAGCCACTGGGTCCGGGACACGAACCGCGGTCGACCACGTGGGAGTCCAGCGACATAGCCATTACGCTAACTGCTGGTTCCCTAGTCATCCTATTTTTGTCCTTATCTTCATTCTCTTATCCAAAGGCACATGACAATACTACTTTCTGAGCTTTTTTTTTTTTTTCCCCCCCGTGGGGTGGGGAGTTTGTTGTATAAATTTGGTTTGTTCTTTGTTCTTTTCCTAGTAGTTTAGATTCAGCTTACTTAGGGCCTGCTGAGCCAGATAACTTTGATTTACCTGCTTTTCTAACTCACAACTTATAAAAAAAAAGTTATCTTCTTTTTCATTGCTCTTCTGAGTATGAAACTTAAAATTCTCTTTTATTATAATTTTAGAGAGCTTAAGGGACAGAGTAGCATTAAATGCATGTGTTCAATCTGCTATCTTTAGCTGAAAATGAAGAAATTTCTTGAACCTAAGTCTTTTTTTTATGTGGAGAGCACATCTTGCAATGATCTTCTTTTCTGTCCCTTTCCCACCTTACATTACATATATTTTAATCTAAAAAATATTTTAAATTATATTTCAGTATAACTTATTTCTGTTATCATCAGCACCAAAATTTTTTTATTCTGCATGGATTCAGTATGTTGAGATTTTTATGGAAAGACAAATTCAAATCATATTTGTTTATTTTTCCTTAATAGCGACAGTTGGTTTCAATAAAGTTTTAATTGCAGTTAAAAGAATGCTAGTTAATTATCTGTTTCTCAGGGATTTAGTGCCCAATCTGGGAATTATTTAGATTCCTTGATTTCTGTTTCCTTCTTTTAGTGCTGCTTTGCTTCTCAACCTTTTGGTTCTCATTAAGAAGTCTGCCTCCATTAAATTAAAAAAAAATTATAAAACAGCAATTAGATTAAAATTGTACAATTAAGATCTTTGGTTCAGTTCAACAAACATTTCTCAGATGTTTATAGGTATTGTGCTGGGCATGAAGTTATAAAAATAGGCCATGATTTTGACCCAACCCAACTCCTTAATCACAGGTATTGAAGAAGTTGAAACCAAAATGGACAAGAATTACTTTAGATTTTCTGTATAATTAATTTGACGTACCCTTCCTATTCATTTGAAATTATTATTGTACTTTCTTTAACTTTTTAGAGCAATGTTGCATATACAGAAAACCTTAGTAGTGCCTGTTTTCAAATACTTTCTCCATTAACTTAACAAATGACTGAAAACTCCCATTAATATTCATGCCTTTTATTTAGGGGTCCAAGAACCTCATTAAAATGTAAAACCCCATTGTCTGTATTCATACCTTGGTATCCTCAGATTCTTTCCTGTCAGTATGTTTGACAGGTTTGGAAATGGAGAGAACACAGCTCTTGGTTCTCTACAAGTGATGTTAACAGATATATTGAAAGGGATTAAGGAGAACAGTTCACCAAAAAAGGAAGGCTGCTAATGCTGAAGTGGGGCATCCCGCAAGGACATGGATGAGCCTGGAGGAAATCATACTAAGTGCAATAAGCCAGGCACTTAAAGACAAGTAACAAATGTTTTTACTCATTAGACATATAAATTTAATGGTATAGAAGTGGAGACTGAAATGGTAGATACCAAAATTTGGAAAGAGGAGGCAGGAGAGTTGGGGAAAACTTCATTAACAGACACAAGAGTGCACATAGGTAAGTGGAAGGAGTGTTAGGATTACTAGTTTTGGTATAAGTTCTATGTGTATTTCCAAATAACTAGCAGACAATTCCACTGCACAGAGTGAGGATACATGTTGGAGATGGTGGATGTGTTTGTTGCCTTGATTTGATCATTACACATTGTGTTCATGAACTGAAAAGTTATACTTTTGTACAACTATTATATATCAATTAAAAATATAATAAACAATTTCTCTGTTTTCCTGTTTACTTTAGGATTCTTTGAAATGAATGATATCTAATTTGCCTCATCCTAGTTTTAGGAAACAAACATTCCTTGAATGGTTTGTATGGCATTGCTCAATTAACTAGTATATTTGATCAGAACACCTTTGTTGACTAGTCTGGCTATTGAAGTTTATTGTGGATCATTAGTTCACAGAGGGAGGAGCTTATAAGCATCTTTTATCTTTAATACTCCTTTTCTTTGCCAACACCTGTCATCTAGGCATGTATGTTGAGGCTCAGATAAGACTGTTGATAGACTGAGTGAAAATCCTGCTTTATTCCATCTGGCATATTTCCTCTTAGTTTGGATGATTTCTAGGTGATTTTCCCCACTGAGTTTTCAAATACTTCCCAGATCCCATTCATGTTGATTGGTCAGGCCCTTACTACCTCTCACAGTCGGACTTGCTCCCTAGAAGCTAAGAGAGTTCTGGTTCATGGATCTCTGGGTAGTCAGAGCCTGACTCCTGCATTTACTAACATTCAAGCCTGGATGTCAAAGGGCCTTGGGAGGCATACTAAGCATTATGTTTGGCAGGGTGAAGACATGGACGTCTTCACTTTTTTTGGGGGGGCAGGGGGGAGTGGGGAGATTTTTCCTATAGAGTGCATGCACTTGCCAGAAAGACAGAGAGACAGAGAGACAGAAAGTGAGAAATCACCCCCTCCCCC